GTTGGGTCGAAGTAGTCAACATAAAGTTGTAAGTGCTCACGCCAACTTTTTCTATGATTGGTTACCTCAGTTTGGTGCCCCACGGCATCTTGTTCATGTAGTAAATGTGTCATCGCTTTCTCCTTTCTCCTCAAACTATTATAACACTAACAACACCCTCTACGGCTCTAAGGTACAATAGCAAGTCCTCCCTTAACTATGTGTTTATAATCATAGAAGCGAGGATAAGAGATGTTTAAGTTGTTGGAAAGCTTTTCCAAATACTTGCATTATATCAAATGTTTACCGCTCCTTAGGAATTTAAATAAGGGAAAGCACCTCTGGCCTACTTAGAGATGAAGCGGTTGAGCCCAGCAACTAGCCTAGTAAGTCATTAAACACCCCTTGAGGTCTAGGTGATGACATCTCCAAAATCATCTTCACTTTATTAGGCTTCAGTTTGATCCCTTCTAGGGTGAGGAACCCGAAGAATTTACTTGATCTCACACTAAAAGTACATTTCAGTGGGTTAAGTTACATTATACCTTTTAACTATGGTGAATTTCTTCTTTAAGCCATACATGTGACACTCTGGCAACTTGCTCTTCAACAAGTCATCCATGTACATTTCAATGTTTCTCTCATTTTGTCTTTATACACTCAGCCCTTCATCCACTAGTCAGTCACCCTCATATTTTTCTATCCAAATCGCATCACAATATATCAGTGTAGTTCTTCACCTGGCAATCATTAGGGTGCATCTTGATGTGGTGATAACTTGAGAATGCATCAAAAAAGATCATCACCGAGATCCCAAATGTCAAGTCAACAAAGAAGTCGATTTGGAGAAGCAAGTACTTGCCATTTGGACACCTAGAGTTCAAGTTGTTTAAGTCCGCACACATCCTCTATTTTCCACTCACCTTCTGAGTAATTACCATGTTCGACATTTAGCTACGATATTACACTTCCCTGATGAAACCGGAATCCAAAAATTTGTGGACTTTCTGCTTTATGCGTTGGATAGGGATGGTTGCAATCTTCCTTATCTTCTCCTTCAATATTTATCCCTAGCATTTCAGTTATTTTTCAATCCTTGAAAGCTTAAGCGAGTTCATCACAATGTTCCAAGCTGAGGGACAAGCATATTCGGAGTCCACTATAGATTGCTTCATATTGTTGGGACCTCCACTATTTTAGTGGTCTCCAATCTCGATCATCTATCCACTTCAGTTGTAGCATCTCCTACAACAAGATCACCACTTTCCCTACATCTTTTGAGTAGCAGACTTGCAACTGTGTTAGTGGTCTTAAGTCCCAATCTTCTCTCCACTTCAAGCTATTGAAACTCCTCAAGCAAGATCACCACTTTCATTCCAGCTATCAACTAACAGGCTTGACATTGGGTTAGGTCGCCCTTCACCATAATCTCCTGGCCTCTAACACGGAACTTGACCGTCATATGTTGAGATGATTGTCCTGAAAGTATTTAGGAGTGATTGGATAAGGATTGCATTATAAGTGGTAGGAGTGTCCACTATTATAAAGTCGGCTATCACATCATCCTGGTGCTCTCCCTCGCCCTATGTCATAATTACGATAATCATTATTTCGATCTCTCACCTCTCAATAGAGAAAACATATAGAGGACCTGTCATAAATGGTAAGTCATGAAGCAAGTTCATTTTATCAAAAATAGGTTTAATATTATACTAATAGAGCTCATTATATCTATAAGGATGTTGTTAATCTGATAGTTAGCAATCAATATAGTGACCATCACGACATCATTGAAAGGATTCCCACTTGTCAACTTGTTTGATTCAATGATAGTGATATGGGCAGCTTCAATTATTATGGTTTGGGGCATAATCATCAAGTTAATTCTCTCATTCGATGTCTCTTGAGACTTGTGCCATCAGACATCTCAATCCATCTCATCCTACGAAACTACCCCAATGAAATGGATGACACAAGCAAGAACTAGCTCATTCCCTAGTCCTTTGTAGGCACCACTCATGCTTGCCTTCCCAAATCGGCTAGAACAAACAATTTAAACTTTCTAGCATTTATCAAAAACTACACAAGGCATCGAAGGTGGCTGCACTCCTTCAATTCATGTCTGTGGTCTCTGTGGAATGTGTAAAATTTGAAGTATCTCTAGGGTAGGTGCCGCCTTCATCAATATTGAGTTCTTAAAGAAATATTTGTTCTGAATGGCCTCCACCAACTCAACTATAAACACATGTAAAGGGGTGATGGTTGGGTATTGATGAATGCAATGTACTCCTCATATGGGTGAGCTACATAACACTTCATTCACGGGACAGGTGGTCTCGTGATTCTAAGTGATCTCTCTAGTTTTGTGGTCCTTTACTGGCCGTAATGGCATCAGTCCCAAGACACTTCTTGCCTCCATTCCACTCTATGTGCCCTCGGGTGACTTCTATCATGCCCATTATTTTGGTAGCGATCATGCCTTGTTGATAGTTCATTGAGGCGAGTGGTTGAGGAGGACTTGACTACACTGTTGTATTCTTCCGCATTTAAATGGCTATTGGCGAGTTCCAATAACTCGGCCAATATTTGTGATAGCTATAGATCAAGAGCACACCTGAATCGTCCTTCCTATAGTTGTCCTTCCTATAGTCCTTGGGTTAACATGACCTACGTGATAGCTAGCTATGTGTCCTTAACTTCTAGCATTTCTCTTTGGACCTAACAATGAAGCTCCTCAATGACTCACCAGGTATTTGTCTCAACTTCAAAAAAGCTTATGAGCTCTTGAGTGAGCTCTAAGCACTCATGAATAATGTGATGAAAATACTCTTGAACTCATAAAATGAGGTGATAACACCTAGCGACAAGAAGGAAAAGCAGCCAAGAGTAGACACTAAAGCATGTACTTGATGATTATTAGCAACATTGCTAACTCAAAGTACATGATGTGGTAGGCAAGGTCAAATCTTCCTCAGTATGACTCCATGAGGACATCTTGAACTTAGCAGGTGGTTTTTCATCTACAAACTCCATGGAAAACGCATTGTTTAGCTTTGGCTCACTCCTTACTCGTTTAAGCGAAGGGATATATTCTTCATCACTAACATGGATGTTGCTGCTATCAGTGGTAGGTTTTGAAGTTAGCAACCCAATATCTTGCCTTCTTCGGCGAGCTACCTAGTCAGATGATCCTTCAGGGGTACTGTCTCAGGGCATTTCTATGAATTCGGCCCAATGCATCTTAAATCATCTTAGTGATTCTCTCCTCCATCTCCAGCAAGTCACAATATGTTTTGTAGTTCTAATCTCTAACTAATGACTACTAAATTTGTTACTCTTCATCAAGTACCTATCTTCTGGTTACGAACCCTAGGGATGGATGGAAAGTCCTTCAAGCAAAACGTAGCTACAAGCCAAGAACAACGTAGTCAACGAAGTTATAAACATAGGCTTTATCTGTGTATGATTCTAGTAGTTTAAACTGGGATATCCTTGGAAGGAGTATGGCCTTAGTTGTCGATAATTACTATGGGAGGAGCAAGCTCTCCTCGAGCACGTTCTCCTCAATGTAAAGGCCTATCTAACAAGTCTTATGGATGAACTCACCAAGAAAGAGCACATCTTTGATCCAATCCTCCAAAGGCAAGCTATGATGGGATGAATTCATGTTTGCTAATGAACTAGTTCTAGCAACTAACCCTCAAATCAAGGTTTCTTCTAGACGAGTGTTATTGTAAGTAAGTGTCCCCTCCGGCTGAACTCCTTAATAATTACCTGAAAGTTACCTACATAGACATACATATACATACAATATTTATAAAATCTGTTTTCTTGAATTCCCAAAGTCATTTTAAAAGATTGTTCTTAAATAGAAAAATTCTATCCAATTCAAGGAGTAAGAGCAAATATTTTATATATGATCTCATATCTCAAATCATCTTTGGTTATGAAAGAATAGATATCTGCCATGTCCAATTACTAGCATTTTCCATTGTAAAAATATGGGTTTTTTTTTTAAAAAAAGCATATAGCATTAATAAAAGAAACCAAATACAAACTACTAAATGATAGAAATTCTATCACATTCCTCCCTTAACAAAGAAATAAAAGGAGAAATATTATTATAACTAATATCATCTCAAATAAAATCACTAAAAGGTGGCTGATTTTTGTTCTCATCATGCCATACTAGGTGATTTTTATTGGGGTGTTTTTTTTTTCCTAGTGAACTTCCATCAAGGTTTGTTGACTTGATTAGGAAGGATAGTGATAGGCTTCTTTTTCCTTAGTAGGTTGTATATTTATTTTCTTGTTTAATGCAATTTGCAAATCTTCAGAAAAAAAAATCACTAAAATAAGCATAGTTAGCACACAAATCAGCTAATTTATTACTATTCCTATTTGAAAAATGAAATAAAACTTGATTGAAATTCCTTAAAAAAGATAAATTCTCCCTTTCGAATAAATCATTATTCCGATTGGGTTTATCCAATGAGCTTTGAAGAAGCTTGATAACACTGTAATTATTACCTTTAATAATAATACATTTAACTTCAAACATCCAATCTAGCAAAACATTCTTTAAAGAGAGAATGGACAACAACTCCAATTGAGTTATATCCCAATGAAGACAAATGAACCAAATGCAAACAAGAATCTTCCTTTATGATCTCTGAACACTCCACCTATACTTGCTTTATTGGATCTCAACAAAGAAGCATCAATGATAATTTTAATCCATTCGGGAAGAGGATGGTGTCAAGAATTGTGAGACAACTGAGAAAGCTGATTAGCACCCCGGTATTCTGAAATAAGATTAGTATGAGAAGAGGTAACAACAAAACTAATTGCATTAGTAGCGATGAAAACCGAACTATCTTCAATTCCACCATGCCTAATTTTATTCATACACTTCCAAGAAAAAAAAACAGTTGAACAATACATATTTATAAAAAAATAATTAGAATTTGCTAACTTTTCCAAATTCTTATTACAATCCTCAAGAGATGAGAAGAACGGAATAGCAAAACCCCACTTATTCAGATACATTATAACTTGAATGAGCTTTACACATTTAACTGCTATGTGATCCGAATTTTCAGTAGAAATACAAACTCTTGGACAAGCATTATAGTCCAATAATCTTACATAAGAAAATCATTCGTTGGAATTGCATTGCTAATTAGCCACCACCAAAATAATTCAACCCGACGTCTCAATTAAAGTATTTTTATTCAATACTAATAATTATCTTTCACAAAATCTTCACCCGAATCTTCAATAGCTAATGCAATTATAGATTTTCCATAAAGTTTTATTTTAAGCTCCAATTAATCATACTGTAAATTAGAATGAATCTTAATTAACTTAATAACATCAATCAATTGTTCACCAAAAAACAACTCCAGCTGAGCCTCATTCCATTTACCGTCCAAAATGAAATTGTCAAGAGAATTGCCAACCTCATCCAATTTCACAACAAATGTTAGGTTATCTTTCAATACTTCTATCAAGAACTCATGCATCCTTTAGGATATTAATAGATACACCTATAGCACCTTTCCATCTTATAATAGGACGAAGAAATTTTGCACCATTAAGAATAATCCTCCAAGTTGATGAACTATTTTCTTTATTTCAGAATTCCAAATATCATTTCGATATTTTGCCATCAGGTTCCTGTTAAGAAGAGAATCTGGATTAGAAATGAAATTCCAAGCAAGTTTAGAGGACTTACTTTTGAAGCAACTAAATGCAATCCATGGCCACCCCTGTTCTTTGCTTTACATAAAACATTACAAGCAACATAATGAAGCCCTTGATTACCATTATGCTTATGCCAAATAAAATTTATGCACATTCTATCAAAATCATTCAATATTCCCATAAGAACTAATGAGTGAGTAGATAGAAATATAGGAAGAGAAAGAAAAGCCTATTTAATAAGAACAAGCCTCACTGCAAGAGAAATAAATATATTTCCCCAAGCATTCAATCTATTTAATGCCTTCATCATATTTTTAAAATCTGAAATAACAAGTATCCTCAATGCGATCTTAACACCAAGATAATTCATCTCATTGACAACTTTGAAACCCAAAAGTTGTGAAATAACATTTTTCTTCTTTCTTTTAAATGATTTACCAAACAAAATAAAAGATTTCAGAATATTGACCTTTGCCCATACCACTTGCAATAATCTTTAAGAATATCTTTCACTTTCTTCACACTCCTACAATTTGCTTCAAAAAAAATAAGAATGTCATCTACATAAAGCAAATGAGAATTTTTTTTTTTGCGCATTTCGAGCAACCTTAATTCCAAGTTTCCTCCCTCCTTGAGCAAAATCATTAGATAAAAGTTGTGAACACATGATTAAAACCCATAAAAATATGGGTTTAAGATATTAGAACACTCAAATTTCAAATATAGAATCTCCCATATTTTAAATCTCCAAATCGTACTGTTTCAGCTTTAAGAGTTTGCATACCCAAAACCTCTTTCCGTTATTACGCTTAGAAAGCCCAAAATAAGTTTCGTTCCGAAAAACACACGCAAAACATGCAGGGACAAAGAAATTGACCTGGTTCAGCAATTAGCGCTTGTGCGAAAGCGCGGCCTTAAGCCTCAAGCAATCCACCAGATACGCGAATCCATAGGCCATATTCTTCAGTGTAGCCTCGTGCAAGTCCCTATTCGATGTTCCGGTGGCGTCAGTAGAAAAAAAAACCCTAAACCCTTTAACGAACGCTTCTCTGGCCGTCGTCTCGCAGCAGAGGTTCGTCATCACCCCCGTCACGATCACCTCCTCCACGTTCAGTTCCCTCAGCGTCTCTTCCAAACCAGTCCCCGCAAACGCACTGTAAGTGTTCTTCTCCACCACCCGGTCACCCTCGCGCCTGCCGATGTCAGGGAGGAGCTCGGCGCCCGGCGTACCGTCGAAGATAAGATCACCGTCCCACCACTCGCCGAGCATGCCATAGTCCTCAGGCGAACGGTGGCGATGTCGTGTGTAGAAGATGGGTATACCAGCGGCGCGGCAGATGCCAACGGTAAATCGGAGGGCGGGGAGGATAGGCTCCGCCATGGTAGAAAAGTAGTTCTGCATGTCTATCACTAGGAGAGCAGCCGATTTAGGGTTTGGGTTGCGGTGCCGGATTTCATACTCTTTGTACGAGGCGGCGGAGGCGGCGGAGGCGGCCATTAGAGCAGGTAAAGTTAAGCAGATGGATAGAAAAGCCAGTGTCCCTTTGGAAAAATTATTAAGCGCGGTGGACGCATCCGCGGGTTAATACACCCCATAGACGTTTATGGGGTGATCTTGAGCATGAGGATTGGCCTCTAGTTGGGAGAAATTATTCTTTGTGAAATTCGGATGGGGAGTTTTCATTATTATTGAGTATATTTAGTAAATACTATATAAATATTATAAATTTTTTACTGAATATTTTTTGCAGAGTATTTTTATAATATTTATTGAATATACTTAGTGACTCGGACTGGAGACGATTGTCCCGTCCAAACTTTGCACAAAAAATCTCTTTATGGGGAAATTTAATTGGTTTGGAGTCCAGATGTAGTTATACAACCGCTACTTGTGAATTGAATAGGTGGATATTTAATTAGATGTTATTTTTTATTTTGTCTTTAATTATATTGTCAGTCTGATCGATTTGATCTGATTAAGAGTTTCTAAATTTTTTGAAAAGAAGTTTAAGCTTGGCGCTCCATTTTAAGAAAAAATCCGTAAAAGATCTCGAATCCAAATATTTAGGACTTTTGCAGAACTTTTGATATCTGATGAGATAGAACAACTAAGGAACAACCGATGGAGATTGACGAGAACATTGCATTCTTCATGGAGATGGCATGCTCATTTGATGCAAAGGGTGAAAAGAGGTATGCAAACATCTAGGAAGCAAAAGTTAATTTGGTTGGAGCTGCTACAAATTTCAAACTTTCGATAAATTTCTAATCTTAGTTATTATAAGGGTTTCCCAAGTTTTTTTGTATTTTTTTACATGGGCTATACTATGTGAATAGAATGCCTGTGCAAAAATAAATAGCAGCACAGCACTAGAATGGGGTTTAGCTGCTCAGAAAAATTGTTTCAAAGCTCAGTATAAGCACAATAAATACACAGTAATAGCTCACTGATACATAGTAAAAACTACTATTTATTGTGCTTGTAGCCGCTGTATGAATAAAATGGTGCGCTTTTACCAAAGGGATACGTATTAAAAACTACGTATTTATTGTGCTTTTAGCCGCTGTATGAATAAAATTGATATGTAGTAAAAACTATGTATTTATTGTGTTTTATCTTCGTATTTACTACTATTTTACTTCGTATTGACAAGGTGTGTATAAGGAGAATGTATATTTTGCTAAGATTAATTTTTTAACTGAGAATATTAACGTGAAGGCAACTAGAACATAAATCTCTTCACCTTCAAGCCAGATCAAGTTCTCAAACATGTTTGAATGCTTAAATGAGGAATTCATAATCAGGGCAGCAACCACTCATCCGAGGCTTGAGTACATAAGGATGATGAGGGATATCATTGCTTCAGAGTTATAATTATATTGATTTTTAATTTTAATGATTACTTGTTAAATTAAAAATAACTTTGTATTAAACTCAATATTTGTATTAAATTCATTGTAATAAAATGAGTTGTTTTAATTTAGATCATATTACTAAACGTGTTTTCACTTTGTATTAAATGTGTAAGGAATGATTTCTTGATAATGTCAATATAATTTGTGTATTTATTGTGCTTTTATTGCGTATTCATAGTACTTTTACACTTCTTTAACTATGTATTCACTACATTTTTACTATGTTTTTACTCTATATTCACTGCTTATTTACTGTGTAATCAACGGTATCAAATCTGTATCATCTTCTTCAACTTCAAAACTAGGTTGCATAGTTTTTAAATTTTTTAGTTGTTTTAATTCATTTTTTACTTTTTTTTTTATTGTGCTTTTACTACATATTTAGTGTGTTTTACTGTGTATTCACTGCATTAACTGCGCTTTTAGTGCACGTTTACTATGCTTCACTTTGTTATTATTGCACTTTTTCTACGTTTTTGTTGAGCTTTTATTGCACTTTTATTGTGTTGTTCTATATCGCACACCATTATACTTTTTATGTTATTCAACATGTGTGAACTTAAGGAATAATACAAATGCAGAAGGAATGAAGTATTAAAGGAATGCAATATTATTTTATTAAAATTTATATGATTTATTATTTACATGAAAAATTAATTAAAGAATATAGTATAATATGAATCAAAGATAATACAAAGTGTACACAAAAATGCATATTATTTGTGTATTTACTGCATATCGAATGTGCATTCAGAATTGAACTTGTAAGAAATTTGTTTGATAAATTTTCAAAAACCTTTACAGCGTATTAACTACATATTAGCTATGTATTTACTGTGTCTCAATGTTCCTTCAAAATTGAACTTACAAGGATTAAATTTTTTGATAAATTATTAAGAAACTTTAGTGCATATTTACTATGTATCAAATGTGCCTTCATAATAGAACTTGTAAGAAACATTTTTTTTATAAACTTTCAATATTAAATAATATTTTTATTTGACTCTTTTATTAATTATGTATTGACTATGCCAAAATAAAGACCACAAAAAATAAAAATAAAAATTAAGTACAAAGAGAAAAATAATTCACAATCTGCAAAACACAAATAAATATAAGCTATTTACATGACACGATTAAATACCAAAAAATAAGAGGAACTCCAAAATTTCTCTTACAACCAAACGTTGTAAGGGCGGGTCGAATAAAAAACAAGCATAACTCAAAATCATAAACTCTACGACCTAGCTGGGCATGTTGAACCCTACTCGGGGGCGTTACCCCCTTGGACCCCTACCAGGAGGCGTTGCCCCCTCGAACCCCCAATATATTTCCCAAAGTGTATACAAGTGTTGACCTCATTTATGTATGAGGTTATTAAGACCCACTTGGGTTTCTTTTTGGTGACCCAATGATTGAGAAGTCTCTACTTCCTAATCATATAAGTCCTAGGTAAGGCCCAATTCAACCTCAATCAAATTCAACCACACCCTCCAATTCAATCCCTGACCTAGCTTCCAATCAGCATTCAATCAATTTCCAAATCACATCCAATCAATCTCAATCATCTAATTGACTTTCACTGATGTGGATGAACCAAGTCCAGCAATTCAACTCCTAAATCTAATCTAAATCCAACATTCCAAATCAAACATTAAAGTTAAGGGCCCAAGTCCTGAAACCCTTTCTAGGTGATTTTTTTTTGTCACCTTGAGCCAAGTACAACAATTGGCATCTAATTCAAAGTCTTTCAATTGCATTTTGATATGACATGTCTCTAGTGTCAACCCTCCAAATTTGAACTCATTTGGAGGACTCTAACCCCAAAAACTAGGTTGATTTTCTAAAAAATGCAAACCCTCAAATATTTACAACTTGTGCCACTAGACATTCTATCCAGTGGAATTTGACCTTGGGACCCCTTCCAAACCTTCCAGCCATATCCATGACCTTTGTTCTAACATTTTTACCAATAACCTATACTTTTCTAAACCCAGTTTGACCCAGTATTAACCATGGATCAAAATGACCAAAATGCCCTTTAAGAGGATTTTTTATCTTTTCCACAAAATCCTAAAAGGCCTACCCCAAAATCCAACACTAGACCCAAACCCACTTTTTGGTTTGACTTGGTTGACCATGTCAACCATAGTTGACCAAAATATCCTTAAGGGTTTAAACACCCATCTTAAACCAAATGACCTCTCTTTGAGATGAAACAATTATTATTGGGTTTATATCATCAATTTGAACTCAATGGGCCCAACCCTTGACCCTAGGTCAACTTGGTTGAACAAGTTCACAAAACCCCTCCATACATTTCCACCTTCTCAAATTCTTTGGCCAAGACCTCCCCAAACCCATTCAAAATCATGGGTCACCTATTGGGTCCTAAAGATACCCTCTTAAAGACTCAAGCCTTGGGCCCACTTGGGTTAGTCATTTGGCTTGACCTAAGTGACCAAACAAGGGTTTCCCTTGAACCAACTCTCAACTCTAGTTCAATTGCATCAAGCCATTGGTGGCATTGGGTTCCCCATGACCCAATGCATTTACCTTGGTTGGCCCAGGGGTCAACTTGGGTTAGGAATTAGGCTAACCCAAAGTGGTCAAAACCACCTTGGGTTGAGCCATTTCCCAACTTAAGCTTAATCAAGCCTAACCAAGACTGCCACTAGGTGGCCCTAGGTCAAAGGCACCTACCATGGTTAGCCCAGCCATTGGGTTGACTTGGGTTAACCTCTAGGATAGCTCAAAGTGGTCAAAATAACTTTGACCCGTGCCACTTTTCACCCTAGGCTCATTTGAATCCAATTGACACTTGCATTGTGTTCATCATGACCCAATGCACATTCTACATCCAACCTAGACCCAAGTTCAGCCCAAATTGACCCAATCCATATAGGTTTGGGCCAACCTGAGCCACCCAGGCCAAAGGGCTCTTCCATGCCTAATTGGACTCACTCACGAGTTCGTCGGACCCCAGCAGCCTTTTTTCAGCTCGACCTAACCCAGCCCC